CCCCGAGTTTTCCCGTGGTGTCCCGTGGTGTCCCAAACAGTGAGATCGATAGTGAGATCGATAGTGAGATTGGCAGGTCATCCGTGGTGTCCCGTGGTGCCCCGTGGTGTCCCGTTGAGTGAGATCGATAGTGAGATCGATAGTGAGATCGATGAGGTACCCCGTGGTATCCAGTGGTGTCCCGTTGAGTGAGATCGATAGTGAGATGTATTGTCATATTGATGTGGTGTTCCGAGGTGTCCCGTGGTGTCATATGGTGTCCCGTTGAGTGAGATCGATATTGAGATCGATAGTGAGACAGATAGTGAGATCGAGAGGTGTCCCGCTGTGTCCCGTGGTGTCCCGTGGTGGCCCGTGGTGTCCCGTGGTGTCCCGTTGAGTGAGATCGATAGTGAGCTCGATTGAGTCAGATGTTGGTTCCCCCCCCTCTCCCCCCCAACCTCCTTATCACCCAAAGGGTGGTCGTATATGCAGTTTCTCGTTATTGCCTATTTCTGCCCCTTCCCTCCTCCTAGGTGGAGGCTTCCCCCTTCTCCTCCACCCTGTCACGCTGCGCGCGATGCAAAGCACGTGCCATCGGGTGACATAGCTCGAACACGAAGCTTAAAGTTGGCCAGCGCGGACCCCAAACAATGTGTTTCTAGGAATAGGTGTTGTGCAACCTGTGTGGGGCACTACGTGTGGTGCACTCTGTGTGGTGCAATTCTGTGGTGCAATTCATGCAGTGATACCAGTGTGGGGCAAAATGTGTAATGCAACCTATGTTGTGCATTCTATGTTGTGCAATCTCTATGCTGTGCAAACGACGTGTTGGAACTTACGTGGCGCACCAAATGTAGTGCGGCATTTGCTGCGCAATCTTTGTAGGGATATGTGTGTGATACGATCGATGTAATGCACTCTATGTCGTGCCACATCTGTTGTGGAATATATGTGGTGCAATATACGTGTTGGCATGCATGTGGTGCAACAAATGTGCCACACAATATGTTGTGACATCTGTGGTGCAACCCACTTGGTGCAACGTGTGTGTGTGTGGTGCAATCTAGGTGGTGCACTCTGCGTGGGGCAATCTATGTGGTTCAATCTATCGTGTGTTGTTTAGGTGGGGCAATCGATGTGCGGTAATCTATTTGGTTGAACCTTTATATTGTAACCGTTATGCTGCAATCTGTGTTGTGCAATCTGTGGGGGCAGCATGTGCTGTGCAATCCGCGTGGTGCAGTCGGTGCCGTGTAGCCAATGTGGAGCAGCCTACGTGGTACACACTGCGTGGTGCCATGTGAGCTGCGCGTGATATGTTACAGCATCGGTGGGATTGCCATCGAGTGGACTGCAACCGATTGGACTGCCGCCAGGGCTGGGTGCCACGGGGCGGCGGCGGGGCGGCCACGTGCGGCGGCAACGGGGCGGCGACGGGGCGGCCACGGCGGCAGCGTCGCCGCCAGGCCGCCCAAGAGGCCCAGACGACGGGCGGCGAGGAGACCGCCACGGGGCGGCGACGACGACGGCATCGCCGCCGGACCGGCAGGCAGGACGACAGACGAGGGGCGGCGACGAGGCGGCAGCTGCACAGCATAGTCTGGGGTCCAGGCTGGCTCACGTGCATCCTGCGCTGTGCAAAATCGATGGCAATCGATTGGATTGCAAAATTGGTGGGGGGCTGCCACGGGGCGGCGGCGACCACGGGCGGCGACGGCGGGGCGGCGGGGCGGCGACGGCGGCAGTCTTAGCCACCAGACCGACCGACGGGCCCAGGCGACGGGCGGCGACGGGGCGGCGACGGGGCACGGCGACGGCGGCACCTTAGCTGCCAGACTGACAGACATCGCCAGACGACGGGCGGCGACGAGGCGGCGACGGTGCGGCAACATAACCGTCTGACACCGGCACACAGGCCCAGAGGGCGGGCGGCGACAAGGCGGCGACGGGGCGGCGACGTGGCGGCAACATAGCCGCCAGACCGACCGACAGGCCCAGATGCTGAGAGGAGAGTCAGAACCCCTGAGTGCAAGCCTTGTCTTGGAAATGCTTTAGAGAAGACGAGGAGATGCAAAAGCAACTGGGGCCTCTGAATGCACATCCTCCCCGTGGCCTCGGTTCTTCCTCCCCTCTTCTCCTCGTCTTCCCCTTCTTGGTTGGCTCCTCCCTCCTCCCTCCCCAACTCCATCTGAACAGATGTGATGTCTCGACCCGCCTGTAGATTCGTTCGCTCGCACACTTAGCGTGCCCCCTCTGCCTAGGCATGAGGCTCTGCTCCTGCTCATCTGCTTTGCGCTCGTGTGGATCCTTTGTTCTTTTTTTTTCTCTGACGCCGGCCGTGTGGTCTACGCACGCGCGAGTTTTAGTGTACAGTTGACCGCTGGTTTCTTTCCTATGTTCTCCTCCTCCTCTCCTCCTTCCTCCTTCCTTCGCTCATGCTCGCGATGGTTTTCTGTGTGGGTGCTGGTCTACCAATGTGGGCCTGCGCATGCGCGAGTGTTTGGATGTGCAGGTCCCGCCCCTCCTCCTCTCCTCTCCTCTCCCTCCTGTCCCCTCTTCCTGCGCGGCTCTAGAAAAGCTGGTCTTATACCCCTCTCCTGCCCTCTTTACATTCGTCGGTTCGTGCCCCGCGGCGCCTGGGCGAACGACTACTTTACAGATGACTGGCGCAGCGGTGTCCATACGACGCGCGGCACTCGCCACTCTTCTGGTGAGCGCTCCATCCCCGGGATCACGCTTCGCTGGTCCATTGTCGTCGCCCGCAGGCCGAGCAGAGCTGCTTGCGGTGGGAGAAATACCTATACGACCACCCTTCGGGTGATAAGGAGGTTCGGGGGGGGAGGAGCCAACGTCTCACTCGATCGGTCTCACGATCGATCTCACTATCGATATCACTATCGGTCTCGCTCGAGCGAACTCATTCGATCGATCTCAAAATCGATCTCACTCGATCTATTTCATTCGATTGATATCACAATCGATATGATTATCGATATCACAATCGATCTCACTATCGGTCTGACTATTGATCTCACAATCGATCTAACAGTCGGTCTCACTATCGATCTCACGATCGATATCACCATCAATCTCACAATCAACGCCATCATCAACATCATCGTCACCAACGTCATCAACATCATCATCATCGGGACACCATCATCATCATCACCATCAGCACCAACATCATCATCACATTCATCATCATTACCACCATCATCATCGGGACACCATCATCGTCACCATTATTATCACCAACACCATCATCATCGGGACACCAGCAGCATCATCCTCAGAGCACCATCATCGTTATCAGCATCATATAATCATGAACAACATCATGAACGTCATCATCATCATCGTCATCATCGGGACACCATCATCATCAGCAGCAACATCATCATCATCATTGTCACCACCAGCATCATAATCGGGACACCATCATCATCATCAACATCAGCATCGTCATCATCATCTCCATCATCGGGCCACCATCATCAAAGCCATCATCATCACTCATCATCATCCTCATCAACATCATCATCGTCCTTGGGACAGCATCATCGTCATTATCATAATCAACATTATCATCATCATCATCGGGACACCATCATCATCACCATTAGCATCACCATCATCATCGGGCCACCATCATCAGCATCATCTTCGTCATCCTGATCATCTCATCGCATCTCACAATCATCAAAATCAGCAGGGTCACCAACCTCATCATCATCGGGACACCATCATCATCATCACCAGCATCATCATCACCAACATCATCATCACGGGGACACAATCATCATCACCATCATCATCGTCATCATCACCATCAACATCGTCAACATCATCATCATCATCATCATCATCAGCATCATCGGAATACCATCATCATCACCACCATCACCATCATCATCATCATCATCAGCATCATCAACATCATCGGCATCATCATCATCATCATCATCATCATCATCATCATCATCATCATCATCATCATCATCATCATCATCATCATCATCGTCATCGGGACACCGACGGGACACCGGCGGGACACCGGCGGGACACCGCGGGCCACCGGCCCCAGGAAGGGAGTCATTTGGTCCGGCCGCGCCTCAGCAGGAGGCGGGACACCGGCGGGACACCGCGGAGCACCGGCCGCCCGGTCAAGGTTCTTTTGCTCCGGCCGCGCCTCAGCCACAGGAGACTTTCTCTCGCCCTTCCACGCAGCTTCGCTTCGCCCGCACGGCACGCACGAACACGAAACCGAAATCGATTTCCCGGTAGGGGGGCTCTCCGTTCCACTTCGATCTCACCCCCTCACCTCCGACCCCCCCGTGGCCTCTCGTCATCACGGTCAGTTGCGCCATCCCCTGGGAGCTGGCTCCACCACGGTCGCTTGCCGCAGCCTTCGACAGTCCTGGTGGCCTTACGGGTGTGGCCCGTCGTCCGAGACCTGTTGGTCTCTGGCATCCCGATGTTTTGCAAACTGCCCACGCAGTTTCCTGCACTTCGCCGATGGCCGCCTCAGTGTCTACGGGTGGTGTCGGTACCCTTCCAGCCTATAGCGCACTCGGTGATTCTTCCCCTCCTCCTCCTCCTCCTCCTCCTCCTCCTCCTCCTCATCATCATCATCCTCAAGCAAGTGGGTGTTATGCTCTGTGCTGCAGGAGAGGAACTCAAATCAAAGAGCCCCGACGGAGGTGGTTGTGGGAAGCACTTGGGGAGTCCTCGTCCTCTTCCTCCTCCGATGCATTTTCCATTCCTCCCTCCATCATCTGTCTCATCCGCCCCCACCTCCTCTCTCGCCTCCTCCTCTCCTCCTCTTCCCCCCCCACCTCCTCCCTTTCTTCTCCTCCTTCTCCTTCTCCTCCTCGTTTTGGGCACGCTCGACCTTCCTCCCCCTCCCTCTTGCCCTCCAGGCTGCTGGCGGTCCCCCCCCCCTCCGCTCCTCGAGGGGGCGCCCTCCGTCCGAGGCCATGCCGGCGGAGGCCGCGGCAGGTGCCGCACCAGGGTCGATGGCGGCGGCCGAGGACCGCCACCCGACCCCAGAGGGGGGCTGGGGGGGAACGGGGGGGAGGCGGGGAGGGGAAGGAGCGGGGAGGGGGAGGAGGATGGGGAGGAGAGGGTGGAGCGTGAGGAGGAGGCGGAGGAGGAGAAGGAGGAGAAAGAGGAGGAAGGACGGAGAAGGTGGAGGAGGAGGAGGAGGAGGAGGAGGCGGAGGAGGAGGCGGAGGAGGAGGAGGAGGAGGAGGTGGGGGATGGTGGGCGGGCGCTTGCCTCCTCGAACCCTTCGCGGCGGGCCGCGGGCGTCGCGGCAGCGGACGCTCTAGACATGCGTGTCCAGAGCGGGCGCAGCAGCAGGGCGGAGGGAGGAATGAGGTGCAGGAGGATTAGGAGGAGGAGGAGAAGGAGGTGGAGGAGGAGGAGGAGGAGCGTGAGCAGGAGGAGCTAAGCAGGATGAGGAAGAGGCAGGGAGGAACAGAGGAAGAGGAGGTGGAGGAGGAGGAGTTGGATGAGGAGGACCAGGAGGAAGAGGAAGAGGAAGGGAGGAGGAAAGGAGGATGATCTGAGGAGGAGGAGGAGAAGGAAAAGGAGAGAGGGAGAGAGAGAGAGTGTGAGAGAGAAGAGGAGGAGGAGGACGAGGAGGAGGAAGAGGAAGAGGAGGAGGGGGAGGAGGAGGAGGAGGAGGAGGAGGTGGAGGAGAAGCACAGAGGGAGGGAGGGGGGGATGACTTTGACGCCTTCGCGCCCGTCCCCGGGCCTCCTTCTCGGGCCGACGGCCCGGCCCGCCGCGAAGCTCTCTGGCCCGGGTGCGCTCTCTGGCCGGTCGGCTTTGAACGGGGGGTTGCGGTGGGGCCCAGGCTGCCTTCCCCGCGAAAGCAGCATTGCGGCATGCGAGCGGCGGCATGCGAGGTGGGGCCCAGGTTTCGTCACGAACGAAATGGGTACGGAAAGAGTGGGTACAATGCCCAACAGCAGTGCTTGTTCATTCTGAACAGAACTCGCTGTCCGCGCCGCCGCGGCCTGTGCCAGTTCGAGGCAGACGGCCGCCTGCCCAACAACGGCCGCTGCTGGTTTGGGACAACATTTGTTGTTGGGCATTGTACCCATTTTTTCCGTACCCATTTCGGGCGTCCAAAAGGCTGCCTTCCCCGCGAAAGCAGCATTGCGGCATGCGAGCGACGGGAGAAAATCAGGCGATCGCAAACATGGATCAAGGGGGCGTGGATTAGCGACGGGTCCCGTTTCCATGGGAAATCGCGGATTTCCGCCGCCGGGGCGGCACCGGCTCCTCGCGAAAACAGCATTGCGGCATGCGAGCGACGGAAGAAAACAGAGTCGTTTGCGGACATTGGCGCGTGAGCTGCCCGCGGCAGGTCGCGCGTAAGCGCCCTCTTCTCCACGCGGCGTGCCACGCTAGCGCCCTGCGTAAGCGCCATCTCACGTAAGACCCGTTTCCTGTCATCGCTCACGTGATACCAGCTTCTCGGGCCCAAATGCTTGTCAGAAGACGACCCAGGATGAGAAACTGGTCTGAGCGGTCTGCTGCCGCACGCCACGAACGCAGACACACACCTGTCACACGGTAGAAGACCCCAGTCGGGTGCTCACGCCTCAGATGAAGAGGCAGCGCGCGGATGGTGGGCGAGGGCAGGAGATGAGGAATTCGGTTGTTTTTGTTCTCCATTCGTTTCGCTCCGTGTTACCGATTTCTGCTTTCTACTTGTTGCGCACTGCTTTCTACTCGTTGCTCCTTCCTCTGCATTGTAGCTATCAGCCCTCGGCTCTCTACCCGCGGACCTTCCACTTTTGCCTTTGGCATATTCCTCCCCACTCTCTCTCTCTCTCTCTCTCTCTTTTTTTTCTCTCTCTCTCTCTCTCTCTCCCTCTTAGCTTTCCTCTCTACGTGAGTTATACTCTTGACTCTCTTCGCTTGCTTTCTACGCCATGCTCTCGTCACTCTGCGCTCTGCTCCATGCTCTCAGCTATCTTCTCTCTACTCTGTACTATGGTTTTTTGTGTTGTTCCTCTCTCTCTCTCTCTCGCTCTATATTTCCTGCCCTCCTCTCTCTCTCTTTTTTTTCTCTCTCTCTCTCTCTCTCTCTCTCTCTCTCTATATATATATACACATGTATATGTGTATGTATCTCTTCCCTCCCTGAAATTTCTTCATTATCTATACTCTCTGTATTCTCTACGCAGGAACCCGCCCTCTCACCAGTCTCGGCCAGGAGCGTCAAACAAGGTCTAGACCGAGCAATTTTGGAATCCGACTGCCCACCGAAACAGGTGGCACACTTCCGCAAAGTCCTCACTACGCATGGAGCCCAGGACCCAGACGTGGGAACCAAAGTGCTAATCGGCCGGCGAAATCGGCTGCACATTCGAGGGAACCCGGGAGTCCGGCCGCCCACCGAAATCGGTCCATCATTTTTGTTGCAGGATAATTACAGCCTCGAGAAAGTAGGAGTTGTTTCGCCTACGTAATCAGCTTTGCACTTTTGCCAAATTCTTCAATATCCGCAAGGACCCCTGCAGTGCAAGGACTGATTGGGGAATGCCGGATGTCTGGGGACGGGGTGAAGTGGGAAGCAGGGGTGAAGGAGGGGAGGAGGCAAAGGGGGGGGAGTAGACGGAGCGCGGGGGGGCGTGGGGAGGAAAGGGGGGGGGGAAGGCGGGGGAGGGGGAGAAATTGGGGGCACGACCCGCGATCCAAGCTCGGTTTTATATTTCCAAGTCCACACGGTTCGACATGATCCTGGTGGCAGTTCGACGTTCCGATCCGATGTCGGTTTCTATTGCGAGGGCGCCTTTTCCTTCTTCCATATGCGTTAAATAGCTCTACTGAGGTGATAGCGAGATCTTGCATGGGCCTGCGATCGTGCACCTTCGATGGGATCGATTAATGGCGGTCAAAAAGTTGTGTCACCTGCCAGAGAGCTGATAAACGTTGCCGTCCATAAGCGTCCTCGCATTCCAGTGGAGCCACGAGAGGTGGTATGGTATGTTCTTACTCTTGTTCGGCGGGGGGGTGTAAGAGAGGGGCAATGACTCTCGCTGGCATTGCGGCATTGCGCAAGCTTTGCAATACAGTGTCTCCGAGGATGTTCCGCTTGGTCCACCGGAGCGCGTTCCTGTGGCCACTGCCGTACGACAGTCGCTGAAGCGGACTTACGACATCTTCGTAGGCAGTCACGACCAGAAGCGCCCAGAGGACACATCCGCCACAGAGATGATGCTCCGCATCAAGATGCACGACGAGTATGAGCACATCAGGAACGTGCCAGACCAGGCCACAGAGGAGAGCCTCGCAAAGCTCTCCGTGATGCAGCACGCCATTGCCGACGATGCCACGAGGGAGGCAACACCGTCTGCCATCACGAGGATGCTCACCGACGTGGGTGCCGGCGAGGGAGGCGCCGGGAGGGCGCTGCAGCGTGAGGCGGGCCCCATCATGCCGCTGGCGCCCAGCGACCCTTCGACCACCGTGCAGATACGTGCTGGCCTCAGCAGGCCGTGCTCGTTCGAGCAGGGCCCGGTCGGGCCTGCCCGGCCAGCCGGGGCGATCGCTCTTCGGCCTGTCGATCGGCGAGGTGCCTCCGCGCATCGGGCATGGGTCGCGCCTGCCTGGCCAGGGTCAGGGTCGGGTCGTGGATCATCCGTGAGCGGGGGAGTGCGTGGGTCCTCCTCCTCATCCTCCGCCTCATCATCATCGTCACCACCATCATCATCCTCATCATCACTACCATCATCCTCATCGTCATCGTCATCACCATCAGCAGCAGCATCATCATCAGCACCCGGCATCATCATCAGCACCAGCATCCTTCTCTCCTTCTCGTGCCTCCTCGCTCGTCGACGTACCTCTGACGGCAGTCACCCCGAAGGAGGCCCCGGCCCACTCGTCATTCTGTGAGCCCGAGCCCCTCCTGTCCAAGCCGCAGGAGCGTTCGCGGGGCCGAGTCCAGCCAGGCAGGGCGGCAGCCTCCAGAGATCAGAGACTTCATGCAATCTGCGTGCTGGTCCCGAGTCTTCGGGGTTTCTGGCGTGGCCGGCTCGAGGAGCGCGCAGCTGGTGGGGCCCGCCGGGAGGAACCTCCCGCCCTTCGCCCTGGGGGCCTCTGGGGACGCCGCTGTCCTGGAAGGCCTGCCGAGGTTGTGGACGACGCTCACCGGACCGGAGAGGAGGCACGTTGCCAAGTGATGCGCAGATGTTTAGACCTTGCCTTCAAGCATTTTTTAAACTATGTTGAACAAACATTCGTGCCGGCATTTAAAGTACAAGTTGAATTCCATGATCGGAGTGTTAGGGTGTCATGGTCATGGCATCCACAATGCCAGGGGCAACGACGGGGGGGGGGGGGCGATCGGAGCCGGGGTGCTGCACCCCGCCCATTGGGCGTGCATCCGCTCGATCGACTGCAGATCGCCGGCCCGTCCGCGATGCGTCGCCGACTTCCGGTCGGAGGAGGAGGAGGAGGAGGAGGAGGAGGAGGAGGAGGAGGAGGAGGAGGAGGAGGGAGGGGGAGGAGGAGGAGAAGAAGGAGGAGGGGGGAGGAGGAGGAGAAAAAGGAGGAGGAGGCGGAGGGGGAGGAGGAGGAGGAGATGAGGAGGAGGAGGAGGAGGAGGAGGAGGTGGAGGAGGAGGAGGAGGGGGAGGGAGAGGAGGAGGGGAGGAGGACGATGAGGAGGAGGAGGACGAGGAGGAGGAGGAGGAGGAGGAGGCGGAGGAGGAGGAGGAGGAGGAGGACGGCTGGCCTCACCCCTGCGGCCGAGACGCTGCAAGGAGGATTATGCTGGGCTCCGGAGGGGTTCCGGTCTTCGGGCCGGTCCTCTCGGCGGCGAGCGATGGGGGGAAGTGAGAAGGAGAAGGCCTTCTCAGAAGGCGGTGGGACTTCTCAGAAGCCGTCGCGCATTCTGAGGGTTTTTGTTTGTGCCTTCGGGGCGGGCTCAGGAACTTCTCACGAGGCCGGGGGAGGTCCGAGCCCTCTGAGGAGGCCTTCGCCTTCTCACTTCCCTCCTCCTCCTCCTCCTCCTCCTCCCTCCTCCTCCTCCTCCTCCTCCTCCCCCCCTCGCTCGCCGCCAATCCTCAGATGCTGGGCTGTGAAGCCTGGTCGTGGGCGAGGCTCGCCGCGGCCAGAAGAGCCGCCTGCGATCCTTCTGAGCGGAGCGCGGCCTCCCTGCCCAGCTCTGCTTCCCTCCTCCTCCTCCTCCTCCTCCTCCTCCTCCTCCTCCTCCTCCTCCTCCTCCTCCTCCTCCTCCTCCTCCTCCTCCTCGTCTAGAGGCCCTGAGGAGGATGATATTCTGTGGCTGCAAGGGAAGCTGATGGAGCCCAGCTTGGGGGTTGGGTCTCCATCGGCTGGGTCCGTCGCGTCTGGGCCTGCTGGCGGGCCCCCTGTGGGTCCCGTGGCCGATGGCACCAGGGGCCCCGCCAGCTTCCACTTGTACGGGGCTTCGGTCCCCGTCCTGGACCTGGCCCGAGTTGCGCGCCTGCATGGTTTTGTTTCGCCCAACTCGGCGGTTGAATTCGCCAGAGAATGCAGGCGCGCCAAGCGTGAGGCCAAGGCCACGGAGTCGTGGCCACTCGTAGACGACTAAGCTTACGTGCCGCAGCAGTGTCGACAGGCGGACTTTGTCCGTCCCACCCAATAACATGTCCATGATATTCCTCCTCCTCCTCCTTCTCCTCCTCCTCCTCCTCCTCCTCCTCCTCCTCCTCCTCCTCCCTCCTCCTCCTCCTCCTCTCCTCCTCCTCCTCCTCCTCCTCCTCCTCGTCCTCGTCCTCCTCCTCCTCCTCCTTCTTTCTTCTCCTCCTTCTCCCCTCCCCCCTCCCCCTCCTCCTCCTCCTCCTCCTCTCCCCTCCCCCTCCTCCTCCTCCTCCTCCTCCTCCTCTCCTCCTCCTCCTCCTCCTCCTCTCCCCTCGTCCTCCTTTTTCCCTTTTCCTCCTCCTCCTCTGCCTCCTCCTCCTCGCCCTTTTATCTCTCCTCGTCCTCGTCCTCCTCGTCCTCCTCCTCCTCCTCCTTCCCCTCGTCCTCCCTCTCCTCCTCCTCCTCCTCCTCATCTCCTCCTCCTCCGCCTCCTCCTCTTCCTCCTCCTCTTTCACCTCCTCCTCCGCCTCCTCCTCCTCCTCCTCCTCCTCCTCCTCCTCCTCCTCCCCCGCTCTGCTTCACGCCCCCTTTGCCCCATGCGCAAATCGCAAGGCTTGGATGCCACCCAGCATCCGCAAAGCCTACAGAAGGTGGGGCGGCCTTTGCTCCAGGCGGCGTGGCTGTCGTTTGCCCAGTGCCCCCTGGAATGGGGGAGCACAGTCGATACCTTCATCGTCTTACCACTCGTAGTTTTTTCACGTGCTCGGCAATCTCTACGGAAGCTTGACTAGCGGTGACCCATCGTACAAAAAACCTCTCACCCTCCGAATTCGTGTGCAAGCAAGGGCCTGCCGTGGTGTGCGTCTGTTGGCTTCTGCTCTCTGCGCCGCGACCGCAGTCAAGAGCTGATAGAGCGTGATGTAGCACATGGCCGAGCCGCAGATCTCCAGGCGATGCGTCGCCGATTCGAAGTTCACGTCCCCCCCCCGAGCGAGCCCCGCCCCCGGTCGTCCCCCCTCAATGTGGCGGGCCAGCCTCTCCCTGAGCCGTGGGGCCGAGAGCGAGTCACCCACCGACAGCCCGTCGCCGAAATCGCTGTTCCATCGGATCCAATTTGGGGAGCGTGTCATCACCACCACCGTCATCGTCGTGATCGTCGTTATCGTCATCACCGTCATCTTCAGCGGGAACATAATCATCATACTCATCATCAGCAGCATCACCATCCTCACCGGCATCACCATCATCATCATCATCATCATCAGCAGCAGCATCAGCATCAGCAGCACTATAATCGTCAGCATCATCATCATCAGCAGGATCATCGCCATCATCATCGCCATCATCGTTATCACCATCATCATCATCATCATCATCATCATCATCATCATCATCATCATCATCATCATCATCATCAGCAGCGTAATCATTATCATCATTATCCTCCTCCTCATCATCATCATCCTCATCATCATCCCCATCCTCATCCCCCTCCGCCTCCTCATCATGATCACCATCATCACAAGCAGCATCACCATCATCATCATCAGCATCATCATCATCATCATCATCATCATCATCTTCATCTTCATCTTCATATTCAACTTCATATTCATCTTCATCTCCATCTTCATCTTCATCTTCATTATCATCATCATCATCATCATCATCATCATCATCATCATCATCATCATCATACTCATCATCATCATCATGATCATGATCATCATCACCATCATCATCATCATCTTCATCATCATCATCACCCCCTCGGCTGTCGGGGCCCATGGAGCACCTGCCCCCTCAGTTCGGTAAACCGGCAAGCATCACCGTCTCCCCTGCCCCCCTCTGGTCCTGAGGTCCCGCCCGTGCCCGGCCGGAGATCCCCAAGCCGGTGTGGCACCCGCCGTGGAAGCTGATGCGGGTGATGTCTGGCCACGAGGGCTGGGTCCGGACGGTCGCCGTGGACCCCACCAACGAGTGGTTCGCCTCCGCGGGCAACGATAGGCTGATCAAGATCCCCGGGGCGCGCGCCACTCCGCCGACCCCAGCAGGGATGCGATACGATACGACACGACACGACACGACCACCGCTGCGGACGCCGTCCTGGCCTAGCTAAGACCAGTTGGGCGAGGCCGTGGCCTCAGGAATCTGAGGTGTGTCTGAGCCACTTTTTTTGATCTGCGGGGCGAGAGCGAACCTCTTCCGTGAAAAGCTAGGCGGGCTATGCACAGCTTCAATTAGGGAGACAGGGCACGGGAAGGCGGGGCCTCGGGCGGCCGGAGTGGGCGAGGCCCTGGGGTGCAGGCGGTGCCGAAGTGGATGTGCAGGAGCAGGTGCGCCGCGGACTGTGTGTCTGAGCAACGTGCAGCGCGAGATGCACAAAGAGGTCCATGGAGGAGGGAGGGGCCCCCACAGGACGGGGGCGCTGTCCGCGCTCGCCCCCTCGGGAGGCCCGAGGCTCGAGGGCCGAGGCTCGAGCAGCCGCCCCCGCCGTCCAGGCCCAGCCCGGGCGGCGGCATGGCCACGGCCGCCCCCGCCGCCGCCGCCGCCAGCAGGCCCAGGGCTCGAGCGAAACGGTGTTTTGGCAACTCCGTGGGCCGTTTTCGTTTGGACTTCGTTTTGCAGCAGATGCGGAACGAAGACAGAACCAGGGATTACGAAAGCAAAACGAAAACGGGAAACACTGTTTGACTCGAGCCCTGAGCAGGCCGAGCTGGGGCAGGGCTGGGACAGCGGCGCCCGATGCAGCGGGGGCCCATGCCAAGAGACACCCCGCTTGCCTCCAGGGTGCCCTGGGTGTCCTGGGTTTCGCTGCGTTTGCGACGGACGCCGCGCGGTTCCCACGCCAAAAGCCAAAGGACGTCCTGGAGTCTCAGGGTTGGGTTTCTTGTGGCACGTCTCTTGTGGACTGGCCTCCACTTCACATGCTCCAGAAGCGCCGCATCTCAGAGATCAACGACTTCTTCCGACTCTGGCTTCGTCTGATCGGGGACCCCCAGGTGTGGTGACCACACTGCGTGGTGAGTCGGGGGGGATGTCGGGGACACCGCACGGTTCTGGGATCGCTCGTGCTCCGAGGGTGTCTCGGGCGCCTGGGGCCCGCGAGTTCCCAGGACCTCGGCGGTGACGGACCGCGCTGTGCGGTCGCTGGGGATGCCGAGGCCGCCGCGCGGTGGGTCACCGCGCCGTTGTGGGGCCTCCGAGCTCGGGCGGCGGCTCCGCGTGGGCCCCGGGCGGGGGGAGCGGGGACTCAGCGCGGCCGAGGCGGGGGCCGGTTGGCGGGCACATAGACATAGACCTCATGCCTAGTCCTGCATAGACATAGACATCAGATATCAGACATCAGACATCAGACATAGACATCAGACATAGACATAGACATAGTCCGGGATCATAGACATAGACATAGACGTAGACGTAGACATAGACATAGACATAGACAGAGACAGAGACAGAGACATAGACATAGACATAGACATAGACATCAGTGCCAGGAGGGCCGCCCACGTAGACCTCGTGCCCATGTCCTCCGGGCTCGTCCTCTGAGGCCTGCCAGTGCAGCCCCAGCCGCTGCGCCAGTCACAGGGTCTTGCTGCCGTGTCTCTCCTGTTCTTCCTTTTTTCTTCCCCCTCCCTTCGATTGCAGCTCTGCGCTGCGTGAAACACTTTGGTTTTTCTGGTCACTGGCGCTGGCCCCCGTGTCTCGGGGAGGCGCCCAGCGCCATGGGGGCGTCAGGGGCGGTTTGCTCTCAGAGCTTCCCATCCCCTGCGCCCTTCTCCTTGTCCAGCTCCACGCTGTTGGTTGTATTTGCCAGGCCCTTCGCGTGTTCCCTCCTGCTCCTTTCTGCTTTCCTTCTCGTCCTTCTCCGTGCTCTTCTGCGCTGCTCGTCGGCATTCTCGGCACTTTTGTGCCCGCCCGTCCGCTCCCCCTCTGTGGCTGTCGTGTCCGCTCGGCTTGGGCGACCCGCCGGCGGAAACTGTGACAATCACCGGTCTTGACCCAAGACCGTTTTGACCCAAGACCAGTTTTTGATCTTCGACTTCGGCATCTTCTCTCTCCCGAGTAATATGTGTATATATATATATACAAAGCGAGAGAGAGAGAGATGGTCCTCCCCCCAGCACCCACCCAGACCACCAAAACACACGAAGGTGTACTGATCGTTGCCTGATCCGCCAACTTCTCCTCCTCCACTTATTCCTGATTCTCGTCTTCCTCCTTCTTCCCTCCTGCTGCTCCTCCTCCTCCTGCTCCTCTTCCTGCTGCTCCTCCTCCTCCTGCACTTCCTCCTCCTCCCTCGCGCCAGATGCGCGACAGGAGCACTGACAACCATTGTGTTTTTTTCAGGCTTTCCAGATCGAGCAACTGAATGTCGTCTTCCAGATCGTCCGATTTCCTACCTCCTATACGAAAGCGCTGTGTTTCAAGCCGGTTCAGGCCTTTGCCTCAGCGCCTAAGCAGGCAGCCTCGCCAGCCTCAACTCCCCAAGTTCCTTGTGCACGCAGGGGCTGAGAGCAGCATCAGCGCCTGCGCGACAAGGAATTTGGGACCGCTTCCGCCGAGGGGGGAACATCCAAACGTGCTCGCACACACCTGGTCATCTCCGGTAGGCGGGGGTCGGCAGATTTGGGACCTGGCCAGCGGTACTCTCAAGCTCTCCCTGACAGGTCACATGGCCACCGTCAGGGGTGTGGCGGTCTCTGACCGGCACCCCTACTTGTTTAGTGCCTCGGAGGACTGCGAGGTGAAATGCTGGGACCTAGAACAGAACATGGTGATCAGAAACTATCACGGACATCTGAGTGGTGTCTATTGCCTTTGTCTTCACCCCACCCTCAATATCCTTGCCACTGGCGGACGGGACTCTTCGGTCCGCATCTGGGACATGCGGACGAAGATGGGGATCTTCGTCTTCGGAGGGCACACCAATGCAATATGCTCGCTCGTGTCGCAGGCGTCCGAGCCGCAGTTTATCAGTGGCTCTATGGACCGTATGGTTCGCCTGTGGGATCTTGCCGCTGGCAAGTGCTCCGTCACCCTGACAAATCACAAAAAGAGCATCCGTGCCTTAGCCATCCACCCGCTGGAGTACACCTTCGTGTCGAGCTCGTCCGACCACAACAAGGTGTGGAAGTGCCCCAGGGGGCAGTTCGAGCGAAACATCGATGGCCACAATGCAATTGTGAACGGGTGCTGCATCCGCGAGGCGGAAAAGGGCTCCTCGATCTTGATCAACGGCACAGACAGTGGCCACCTCCACTTCTGGGATTGGGCCAGCGGCCACAAGTTCCAGAGCATTGAAGGCAAACCTCAGCCGGGCAGCATGAGCGCCGAGAACGGGATCTTCGCCACGACCCTGGACCAGAGTGGCTCGCGGCTCATCACCGCAGAGTGTGACAAGACGATCAAGATTTACCGTGAGGACCCCAACGCCACTCCGGATAGCCACCCGCTCAACTGGAAGGCACCGGCGATGAACGCGGCGCACCGATATTGAGGGGACCGGGGCGTTCATTCTGACCCGCGGGCACGACGGTGCCTTCGAAAACCGGCACACTCGACTCTCTCCAGAGCCCCTGCGCCGGCATCCCTCTCTGCTCTTCGCGGGCACTATTTATATCCATTCCCAGGGCGTCTTGGACTTTCGTGGAAGGGGCGCCGCAAGGCCGAGGCGCACTGGATATGGATGAAATTCGAGCCTCTGGTAGGGGCCTGATTTTTATCCATATCCAGTGCTCCTCGGCTTTCTGGGGAAGGGAGCCCGAAACCCCAAGCTGCAGTGGATATGGACACAAGTTTTGCCCGCACTCTGGTCACCTCGGGCCGCCGGCGACGGCAGTCAGGGCCGCCTCTACGATTCGGTGCGATGCGATTCCATTCGCCAGATGGGGCCGCGATGCCGATTCGATTCGGTTCGGTCCGTTTCACCAGCATCGGTCGGTGCCAGCCAGAGCCTGGTGCGGCGATGCGAGTTCGCTCCGATGCGGGATTCGATCTCTCGATTCGATCCGTTTTGCCCGCACTTGACACTCTCCAGCGCCCCTGCGCCGGCATCCCTCTCTGCTCTTGTTGCTCGCTCGTCTCCCGTCTCCTCGGCTTTCTGGGAAAGGGAGCCCGAAACCCCAAGCTGCAGTGGATATGGACACAAGTCTTGCCCGCACTCTGACACTCTCCAGCGACCCTGCGCCGGCATCCCTCTCTGCTCTCGTCGCTCGCTCGTCTCCCGTCTTCCGCAGGGCCTCGGCTGGCCGCGGCCCCGGGCGTGCCAGGGAGTGTCTAGCGGCGGCGGGGCTCGCCGTCGGGGAAGCAGCGGCGAAGCGTCCCGGCCCGCCCAGGGAGGCCTGCCACACCATGTCCTAAGTATCTTTTGTGGTTTCCACGAGATGTTCTTGGAGCATTTCTGGCTGGGAGCGTCTCGTTTTGACACATCGGGGTACTACTCCAAGAACATTTGTTTTTATCCATCGAACATTCTTGGGTTCTACGAACATTTCGCGGTAGGACTATATGAATGTCGGGACGGTCGGTTCCTGCTCAAGTCGGGGAAGCAGCTTGCGCAAGTAGACTGGCGGCGAGGCCGCCCGCGGAAGCCAGCGGAGGGTGGGAGGTGAGACGCCATGTGCATGGATTCCATCGGCGTCACCCCAACATACGAATAGCATGTGTGCGTCGCCCTCCCAGGGGCGACGCGCGCACCGAGAAATCTTTTAGTACATGCGTCGTGGCGAGCGCTTTCTGGCCGCACCGCTCGAGAAACGATCTGCTACACGATGGCTATACTACATGTTCGGGTCGGATGCGCGCCTCCGAGGAGAATATATAGCACTAGTATGTCATTGTGCTTCCCATTCCACGAATCCAGAGCCTCTTCAGAACATGAGGTGGCTTCCCTTGGCACGTTCGGGTCACAGGATCGACACGGCGGAACCCTGCAGTAGAACTGCTGTGGCCAATGCTTCAGCGTTGGAAGCCTGTGCGCCTCACTCACAGGAGGGGCGCATAGATTTCGCTTACCTCAGAAGCTTGAAGCCCGTGCACCTCGTCTTCAAGGGGGGAAGTTACGGCGGACATACCCTCCGTTTAACCTATCTCCAGTCGCAGGATCTGAAGTCTTTCGCCCGCGTGCCGCCTGCGCCTGCATCTTACTGGGATGCTGGAGATCCATGACGTGGCTGGCCTGAGCGAGGGTTGCGTACACATTTTTGGTCTGCGGGTCAAAAGCGCACCTCCTCCGGTCGAAGCTAAGCGGGCCGCGCACAGAGGGTTGCGTACACAGGTGGCCGCATGTGTTTCATATCGTTCGGCCCTCGTGTGCCTGAGCACCCCTTCCTTCCGCATGTGCATCCAGCGCGTGGCCCCCGTATGTTTCCAGACGTCGGGTGGCAATGTTTCTTTAGCGGCACCTCGAAGCGAATGCCACTCCGATGAGTCCGAGTCGGCACCCTCCTCCATGACGCACCATCGGGTTCTTCTGTGACCGCGGGCCGCTGGCAATATATGTGGCCGCCACCTCCGGCAAACATGGGAAGGCGATAGGTGCCCTACCTGCCCGCGTGCCCATCTTGAGCCTGGTATAAGCCGCTCCGCCTTCTGTGTTTCCTGGCTCTGCTTCTCGTCCCTTTCGCTCATCGGGGGTCTTTTCTTTGTTCATCGCGCAGTGTCGCAGTTCATTAGTGTGACCGCTCGGCGTGGAACAGCCCTGAGCGCTCGCCCCACATGCATCTCAAGAATGAGACTACAGATGATGAGACGCGTTTATTGGTAACTGATGCAGCAAGCCAGCAGCCGCGTACGCTTCGTTCCGCCGCCTGCGGCGGATCATATTCGGTTGATATCCAGCTGCCTGCAGCAGGTCCCGCCACAATGCCAGCGCAGCATCTTGCTTGGCGACTGTTCGTGGGACGCGCGGAGACCGTAACGTATGACACCTTGTGCACCGCAGTTTACGAGAGCCGCAACCTGTGACACATTGTTCCGCGTCGCGTCGGGGATTCATATCTCGTCGTTTCTTCCGTCATAGGCAGTCTTCGGGTTCCCCTTGGGGACCTGTTTGGGCCGTCGTGGGGCTCTCTTATGGCTCCCTCGGGCCGTCTTGGAGCCGTCGTGGTAGTCTGGGGGGTCTCTTGCGGCCGTCTCGGGCCGTTGAAGGGCTCTCGAAGGCTGTCTTAGGCGCCTCCGGAAGGCCATACCGGGCCAGTTTGGGGGGTCTTTTGGGGCCGTCCTGGGCCGTTTTGGTGCCCTCTTGGGTTGTTGTTGAGGCAGTCTTGCACAACGGCCATTGGACAATTTTGGCCGTCTTGGTGCCATCTTGGAAGCCTCGGGCCGATTGGGGTTGCGGAGGGTTCGAAAACGCGAAGGTGCCCAAGTCTTTGAAAACACAATTATCTCATTACGGCGACGGATCCAACCATATGCAGTTGTGAGTAATGCGGTTGTGAGTCTCGTCTTCGGTGGAGATCCTTGTGGAGTTGCGAAACGTGTGAGGGGCGTGCCGAAATGGAGGGGAGCCGTGTGCGAGCTGTGCCACTTTGACCTTGGGTGTGCCTCCCTATGGTGCCATGAAGCGTGTGGGGTGTCTGCCGGCCCCATTGTGACGCCACCATGTGGACGGTGCCTGGGGCTTTCGGTGGAGTTCCCTATGGGGCCACGAAACTCGAGAGGGGCGTGCCGAAACATGTGTGACGCCACCATGTGGAATGTGACTCTGGGGCGTTCGGTGGGGCTCGTTCGACCAATCGTAATCACTTCGGACCGTTCCGGAACCACTTCGGACCGATTGCAACCACTGGAAACGGATTGGTCGCAACGTGTAGGATTCCCATTGTAATCCTATAGTGCGAACGTCGGAGATTTTAACCGGGAATGCTTGCTTCAGCTTCCCTGGGCTGAAATGATTTTTGCGGATTCCTGGGCTGTCTTGAGGATTCCTGAATGAATCCTAAAGGAGTCCTGAAGGACGTTGGAGGACTCGCGGATTCCTGAAGGCTTCCTGAAGGATTCCTAGATAATTCTTCAGGGTTGTTCAGATTTCTTGAATAGTCTTGAGGGATTATTGAAGACCCTGGGGGACTCTTCAGGATTCTTGCGGTTTCCTGAAGGATTCCAGGCGTATTCCTGAAGGATTCTTCAGGATTGTTCAGGATTCTTGCGGGCTCCTCTGGAGAATTCCTGAAGGAAATGATTATTCACGGATTCTCGGAAGATTCCTGAAGCATTCTTGAAGGATCCCAGACAGATTCCTGAGGTTTCCAAACGGATTCTTGAAGGATCCTTGAATGATCCCTGAAGGATTCCTGAAGGATCCTTGAAGGATTCTTGCAGGATTCCTGGAGGACTCTTGCGTCTTTGTTCGTGGCTCGGTGTCATCCAGGGCACCCTGCGGAGGCCAAAACAGGCCTCCAGGGGTCAGAGGACAAAACGGGCCTCCAGGGGCCAGAGGATGTCATCCCATGGCGTCGTCATTGGTCCATCGCGCTGTCAGTCGTCAGTGGTCCATCGTTGCCGTGCTCTCTCGCGTGCGCGGCGCCGCCCGTGGGGAATGGGAATTTAGGGAGGTGTAGGAGGAGGAGGAGGAGGAGGGGGAGGAAGAGGAGGGGGAGGACAGGGAGGGGGAGGAGGGGGAGGGGGGTTAGGAGGACCATTTGGAGGAGGAGGGGGCGTTGATGAGAACAAGCTGTTGGTGATGATGATGATGATGATGATGATGATGATGATGATGATGATGATGATGTTGATGATGATGATGTTGATGATGATGATGTTCGTGTCGTGGTTGACGTTGGTGATGGTGCTGCTGATGATGATGATGATGATGATGATGATGATGATGATGATGGTGACGGCGAAGGTGCTGACGATGGTCATGGTGATGATGCTAATGATGATGCTGCTGCTGATGGTGATGATGATGATGATGATGATGATGATGATGATGATGATAGTGTTGGTGGTGCTGTTCATGGTGGGGAAGAGGATGGTGTTAACGATGGGGAGAAGGAGGGCGAAGCGGGGCATGACGGTGGGAGGGGGATGATGAAGGAGGAGGAGGATAGGTTGGACGAAGTTGGTGGTCAACACGGAGGATGAGAAGCAAAGTGAGGATCGAGCATGGGGAGGAGGCTGATGATGATGGTGGTGGAGACGATTCTGATGATGGTGGTGATGTAATGATGATGGTGTTTAGGGTGACGCTGATGATGATGCTGATAATAACGATGGCGATGACGATGACGATGGCGATGACGATGGTGAAGATGATGATGTTGATTGTGATGATGATGATGGTGATGATGGTGATGATGACGCTGATGATGACGCCGATGATGACGATGGCGATGTCGATGACGATGATGATAATGATGCTGGAAATGATGACGCTGGTGATGACGCTGATGATGACGATGGCGATGACGATGGTGATGACGGTGATGATGATGATGCTGATGACGATGACGATGGCGATGATGATGTTGATGATTGTGATGATGACGCTGGTCA